CCAAATGTTGGATGGGACGCTATTTGATCCACCGGTTATTGATGACTTTTGTGAAGAGAGTGATATTCGTTTATGGAGCTTCTGCTGAGACCCAAAAACAAAAAAATATTAAAGTTTCATTCTTTTTTTTTTTTTTAATATATATTCATATTGTATGATCATCCCTCGGTTGTTAATTTCACAGAATTACTGACAAAAGAAAAACTTTTCATATATATACACATTGTTTACTGCGGCAGATATTTTTTTCTGGGTTGATTATTGATTTCTCTGGCCGGATTGGACTTTCTTACGTTGTTGTTCATCAAATTAATTTTTGTATTAATTTTTTGTACATATATAATATATAATATAATGATATATACTAATATCGTCTAAGGAAAACAAAACCAATGGCCAGAAATCTGTGTCGTGGTTTTAACGTGATGATGTCTTGTTTTTGTTGTTGGTATATGGAGAAGTTGTGCACCAATGGCGTGTTTGGGCGGTGGCAGTTTTTTGAAACTCAAAAACCAGTAACGTCAAAGGTCGAGGAGATATTCTCACAATATCATTCCGTTTCAATATCCTCACTTTAATCTTATAAGTGAAAACATCTCTGTTGGTACGAAAGAAAAAAGATGTAGGTTTAATTTTTAAGCACCTACAACAAATTTCCTAACTCTGCTGATTCATGTAGCCGTTATTGTTGGATTTCAATCTCAATTTGTCTACGTTCATTTGTGAAAAACGTCATATTATTATAGAAATATGGAGCAGAAAAATGGTAAAAATCTAGGGAGGGGAGTGCAGGGGATGTCCAAAAATGAGTGTCAAATCCAAAGCTTAAAATGGACAATATTTTTGTGGGGGATCACATGATGTGTTGTGTTTGTGTTTTGTGTTTAGGTTTTATGTTGGGGGTAAGGGGCATGGAGTCCCATTTCTGTGTGTTTTTTGTTGCCTTTTACATTGCATCTGGTCTACTCTCATCACTTTCTTTCAAATAAGTTCATGCATGAAATCCACACCCATAACTTTTCACCTTTCTCAATCATCACAAATATATTCAAGGAATTGTTTTGTTTCAACCCTTTTTTGCTCTTTGAAAATCCCAAAAATTAAAAAAATCAAACACAATCTTTTGTTTCAACTCTTGTTTTGTAATTATCTCACAAACGGGCTCATGTATTGAAATAATTACGAGGAGCAAGAGATTTATTATATATAACCGAGATTCAGAAGCTGAAATTTCACCTTGACCACCATAAAACTAAAGATTACAAATCACATTTTATTGTCATTTCATTACCTGGTATGCATACATGTATCTAGATGGAATAACTAAAGGTTGGCCTTTCTTTAGAAACCATAGATTTTTATTAGTAGTTTAAGTAGAATAAACTTTAATAATTGATTAATAATGATGTCTTTAACACCCTAGCTAACCATCATTTTGATTTATATGATTTTGAAAAGTTTATTGTTATTTTCTTATATTTTGATTTTTTTTAGGTAATAATAAGAAAACAACTTAACATAAAATAAATTTTGAAAAAACTAAATTGTCCAGCCACGAGGGAGTTTGACAACTCCACTCTTCTCTCAAATGGTTTTTCATCGCTCGTCTGGCTAAACCATGGGCCACCTTATTTGCCTCTCGACTGATATGTCTCATTGAAACTATTTCCATATCTTCCATTATCTGCCAAACTTCTTTCAAAAGTCAAATAATTTCAGTTTGATATTGATACTGTCTGTGAAGTAGATGAATGGCTTCGAGGGAGTCAGATTCGAAGTGAATTGGTCGACAGTGTTCTTGTCGAATTGCACGCAATCCCTCGCAAATAGCCATCACCTCTAGGTAAGTAATATTTCTTTCCGCTCTTATAATTCTGCAGCCTATTTTGATGACTTCTCCCTTCTCGTCTCTTAAAATCCAGCCAATCCCGCCGGTGTTTGTATCAATTAGTCACTCCCAATACTCTTTTGTAGTCCAGTTTGTCCTATCAATGTAGAAAAATTTTGCTTCAATAGGGGTGCAATTTATCCCTATATCTTTAATTTCCTTACATTCCCATAGGATATGTTGAGTAATCCCTTCTTTTTTCCTGCAAAAAGGACAAAATAGATCAGTAATAATTCTTATATTTCGATTAAAGTGTAG